AAATTATGTTGTTCCTACTTCTGTCAATAAAACTATTGACAACTTATTAAGCTTCTGATTGTTTTAAAAGCTTAAAAGTTTTACTGAACTTTAAAAGTAACTACGACCTCAGAGTTTAGTCTCATTTGGCTTAAAAATACCAACGTTCATGTAAAAGTTCTTCAAGAGAGGAGTGAATAGGTTTTTGCAAGGGTTGGCAAGGCGTATGTAATGCCCCAAGTGTTGCAAGCGTTCATAGACCACGGTAACCGCTTACCATAAGGAGGGCCGTGTGCTGATTTTGCTACTGTCGTAGTATAAAAAAGTATTATTTTATTTTGTGACATATTTACAAAATACTCTTACACACGATTTCAGTTAAACCTACGTTTATCTTTATATCCCGGTGCTCCAATTCAGATTTTAGTATCAAACATAACGCTTGCTTAAGCGGCTAAATAAAGATTTAGACCATCTTGTTACGAGTAGATAACTAACTAGTGCAAATAAGTAAACTTTGGACAGATGGCATTATAATTGTCTTAACAGATGGAAACAAAGACCTTTTTAAAAGTCGAAAGTGTGATAAAGATTTGAGATTCAGAATGTCCTAGGGACACCACATCGTCGAGGACAGGATTTTGAACTTTGGTTTATAGTTGTATTGTTTTACTCCGAATTTAACAAGAGCAACATTGCGAGCAAAATCTAGTTATGTATATTCTGTATTGCCAAACAGTTATATACTATATATAACTTAATTATAGTTTAATATTTCACTTTATATACGCAACTGATTCCACCCTAATTCCCTTACCGGTTGTCGGGTCAACATTGTTAATTAATTTATTAAAAGCTGGATTACATTTTGGATTCCGCAGCTCACAAATATCCGTTGTTTGTTTCCAAAAAGGATTTAGTAGGTAGTATACAAAACACTTACAAATTAATTACTTGCTGACGAAGGCTTGAGCCTATCATCAATTAATTTGTTTGTCAAAACTTAAAACAAATGTTATGAATTATATTTTTCATGAGTTTATTGTTTAGTTGTAAAGCGGTGTTGTCGTAGACGAGACTGTGCGACAGTTACATGTTAAAAGACAATAAAGATTATGTAATAAAGTAGTTGCAAGGGTGTGAAAATAAAAAATCTAATTAGTCCGTCAGTTATTTAAAGAAAAAATATTACACACGTATTTTTTTTATTTTCTCGAATAAAGTTACAATATTTAAATAAAATGGAGTTAAGTTTAGGAGTGGGAGTTCGTTACAATGTTTCAAATTAATATATCGTCGAAAGTATTTAATTTTGTGAGAAAAGAAAAGATACATGTAATGTTTTAAATTAACCTACCAGGACATTAAAATATTTAGGAACTACTTTATTCGAGAACGTCGCTTGACTGATTTAAGCATCGACTGGGGCTAATAATCAGGAGAAGCAAAGTACAAACTACTATTAAAGCATGATCACAACTCCGTGAAAAGTGTCACCTTCTGACAATTTTTTTTTCCTATCTAATTATTATTAGGTACCTACAAAAAGCTATGTAAATAATACGCAATTTTTCAGCATTGTTAAGTATTACTATTGCCTTTGCATATTTGATTCAATCATAAGAGATCTACCTTCACAGGAATGTTGACAGTCACGTTATCGCATATAATGAAGACACGTTGCAGCATTTGAATATCAAAAAAAGGGATAATCCTCTTGAGGATAGAAAAACATATTTTTATTTGATGTTTTATTATTCGAGGGATATTTTCTTCTCATCAAAATCTTGATTAACGTGACATCGTTTCTTTTATCTTCAAAGAGCAAAGGCGCATGTATTTATCGTACCTACTCCCATTTTTCGCTAGTATAAGGGGTCATAAGAGGTCAGCGTGTGCATTCTGAACGGTACAATCTGGGTGTCTTCATGACCAGAGTGAATAGGTTATCTATATGCTCTATCGTTGACAACATCATCGCTTACCATCGGGTAAGATAATGGCCATATTGTTTTTTTCTTCTCTAATAATATCTTCTGATTCCTTTCATTGTGGAATACAAGACAGTTAATCATGTCCCTGGGACGCGCCTGACTTCAGTGTTCCAGTGATATTTTGGTTGTATTTACTGGCTTACAGAAATTGCAATGATTTTTGTAGGTTGTGGCGGGCTTGTCGCTTGTTGGCATTTCAAATATATAAAGCCAATTGCTATTTAATGTATACAATTACAATTAAACTGCATGATATCTATAAGTATTGGAATTTTAAAATTTCAATAATATAAGTATTATCGTTGATCGAGTACTCATATGTCTTAACTTAAAGCAGTCTTTGGCAAATGTATTATATAAGATAACTGATAAATACATAAGCATATAATACCTATAGCTGTAAATATGTACATAGTGTTTACACGGTTCTACAGAACCTTCTCAAGTTCGAACTGAAACTTTACAGTGTATTGGAAATCCTGGCTGAAACTTAGTCCTCACTAAACAGATACAAAGGTTACAAGACTGATTTTAGTGAAGTTGTTACTAATTTCATTTCCTATTCATTATACCTACGTGGGAGATAGATGCTTCAGCGCAAAAGGACTGAGTCGACCGGAGTGATACCTCAGCCCAAAAAAAAAACCGGTGTGAAATAACATTTCGCTGTGTTTCGCCGTGTGCGTGAGGTTACCCTCCTTTTCCCGCCAAAATAGTATTGTCCATGGGCACTGAGCAAACATAACATAACATAACATCACGCCTTTTATCCCCGAAAAGGTTGGCAGAGGTGTACATCATGCCACTGTACAATGTATCACCCACTTTTCATCATTTATGTTATGAGTCCCATGTAGTAAGGGATGCGCCTATTGCCATACACCGGGCAAAATTCCAGCCTCTACTACTGTGATTTTTTTAAAAAAAAACCCATTAAGACTTTGCCCGACCCGGGAATCGAACCCGAGACCCCTTGACGGCGACCACTCAGCAAATGAGGCTGTACTGATCAGTTACCATCACGTGACCAGTCTGCTCGTTGGCATTCATCGCATAAAAAAGAAACAACAATAAAAATTGTGGATCCACTGTAATAATACTGGCGACCACTCAATCAACAAATTAAATGAAAAGCTAAATTATACACATACTGTAACATGAGCTACCATGTAACCAAAGTCTAATAAGAAGCTCTCAACACAAGTAGCTAACAGTCGGGTAAAAATAACAAGTATTTCAACAAACAGAACATACTTGTTTACATGTTTATGTATTTAATTTTTCGTTAAACATAAATAGCAAATAGTTCACATAAAAATAAACTTGGTAAACAACTTCAACAAATCAAAAGGATTCACTTAAATGTTTTTGAAATATAAAATTGTGTAGTAACTAATTTATATTTATTTAACATTATGTTTGTAAATACACTACCTTTAAACCTGTTCCAATCTTTTTCATACTAAACTTGGCTTCAGGTTCGGTTCCCTGATAGCTTAGCGAAATTGTTCATCATTCATCATTCATCATAAACAGCATATAAATGCCCACTGCTGAGCAAAGCCTCTTCTCACAAGAATAAGGTTTGAGCATTAATCACCACGCTTGCTCAATGCGGGTGGGCGATTACAAACTTATAATTTGAAATTACAAGCCCAGGTTTCCTCACGATGTTTTCCTTCACCGTTTGTCAGTGGTGTCTGAATAATCTTAGAAAGTACATATAACGCGGAAAAAGTTACCTTGGTACTTGCCGTTGATAGGTTTCGAACCCGCACCCTCATGCATGAAAAGCGGGCATCTTAAACCTCCGGGCCACCACGACGGAAAAATTGTTACTACTGAAGTATTGAATAGATTAGTCAACTGCAAGGCAATGGCATGGCTGGGCAACCGGCTGCCGTGTAACCCATCACGAGGTCGATTTCCGCACGAGGCAACTCTTTGTGTGATCCACAAATTGTTGTTTCGGGTCTGGGTGTATAAGAACTTGTATGTTTGTAAAAGCACCCACGACACATGGGGAAATTCTAGTTTGGGGCAACGTTAAAAAAAACTCATTCCGTCTCAAATCCAAATGAACAATAAAAAATATATTTTTTACTTTTTTTTGGATTGAATGTTTGCTGCCTTTTCATACCCTATCTACACTCTTACACCGAAATAAAATGTCAGTCAAGGAATCCACACAAAAAGATTTGTACGAAACTCAGTTATCCTAATATCTCCGTACAATATGTTTCAGCAAGGGACATAAAATGTTACATAAAAATGTAAGTACTGTCATAAAATTCTTTCTACCCTGGAATCTTGTTTTATTACTTCGAATCTAAGTCAGTGCCAGTTATTGAGTGTTTTAGGAACGATCAGCGATATAAAAACTTCATTGTATAATGAAATAAAGACTTAAAAGCATATCTTAAACTGATTTCGTAAATAAATAATGCTTGAGTTGACAGCTTCTTTTATCGCCCTTCGATGATGTGTACCTAATCACAATGATTATACCAACTAACCATCTGCATCTATCAATAGTCTTAATAACAAAAGGTTTATAGAGAAGAATCAGGCTTTATTTTGCGGAAGTCTATGCTACACTAACGACTGGGAAAATATTTCGTGTGTGTGTGTGTGTTTTGTGAAGCATCTCCGCTACTGAGCATATATTTGCTGGCGGTAGGGCAGTGCTGCATCTATCAGTATATCATCTATCATCATTCTACAGTAGAATAAAAACTAAATATTTTCCCAGTTGTTAGTGCAGCAAAAAGTTTTACTAAACTACTCAAATGAAAGACAGACGGACGCCACCAATTTGAAGAACTTATGTAAATTGAACTGCAAACCGTAAAGAATCTACGTCTACATAAAAGAATGCAACTCGTCTTATACTAGAATAGAACGAACAAGCTTAGTGCTTCAAACTTGAGATTAGCTAAGTTTCTAGTCACAAAAAACCTTAGAAAATCTAGATAAAATTCACAAGTTCAATTTGCGTAGAAAGATTTCTTGTCTAAATGTACGTACCAAGCATTCGTATGATTGCCTTTCTGGATTTCGCCTGTCGTGTCTCGCCGTGCACGTGTCCATTTAGCAAGCCTATCTTCGTTTTTTCCATGACGCGTGTCGATCTGTGTACAAGAAAGATTCAGTATTATCATTCTGTTATGCATGGAATTATTTAGAAAGGGACCATGTGGGATTTACCATGGGGTTGTGTAATGAAAACAGCACGTGTAAGGGGATTTTACATACTATCAAAGCTGTTAGTTTTGTCTGATAGCGTGGTGATTTTGATATAACTGTATACAAAATTGGGTACATTTAAGTATCATTAGCCCAATATAATAAGGACAAGTCTTCTACGATTAGTTACCGTTTTAAAATTATAAGTGAAATTCTTTTGGGCGACGATACGAATTCTAACCTCGTTCCGATTCACTGTAAGTACTTATAGTAGGATTGAAAAATGATAAAAGATACTTAGGACCTGAATATTCAAGTGACCTACAAAGTTACCCAACCAGAACCTTTTAGGACATCCATTTTGGTAAAGGGGACGGTAAAATGATTGATTCTAATATATCAATCAGTACTTGTGTCGTCAACAGCAAATAGAACTAGAAAAATAATGGTAGGTGCTAAAAGTAGCTTCTATTTTATTATTAAAATTGTTGGAACATTTTAAAGAAATTTCTTTCAGTTCGCTGCAAGACAAGATAAACATACAAGCATCTACTGAATACAAAACTATATTGTCTTCTACAATAACATTATTTCGGTGGCAAATGAAAGTGTACTTTTAGATTGAAGTCATCTAGAAATGGACTACATAACAATATTATTACTATAGAATTTATCAAACTAATTGTAGTAGTAATATTCAATTAATAACTTGATTGTTAATCAAGTTGAAAGGTGGATTGGGTTAAGTGTTGTTAAAGATTTGTCTATTATTACGATAGTGTTAAGAGCTAATACTTATAACGGGTCGAAAGAGAGAGGTATCCATTAAATAACTTCAATTACATGCTACATATTTAACTGTATATTTCCTTCAGTATTGATATAAAGAGCAATATATCATACATAATATACGAAATTATGTCCACCTAGCAAATTTGGACAAAGCCACTGAGTATAAAAATATGTAAACAAAAAGAAATTGATTGATTCAGATAATATGAGTTGATTGATGAGAGAGCTTCCATTCATCAAGGTTATTGACCAGAGGACCAAATCAATGGACTCTAACAACTTTAGTTACATGCTACAAGCAGTAATGACGACAAAGTACAACCCATTATTTGTCAACAACCCTAGTCTTGCCGTGGGTGTAATTTTGATAAATCGACTACAAATTTAACAGAGGAGACCAGACAGCCTCCGACGAAACCAGGAACTTTTATTTGTTCCATCTTCGTCCGCCAAGAGTGGGGTAAACCACTCTTATGTATAAAAAATTGTGTCTTCTCATGCATGAGGGGACGAGTTCGAAACCTACCAACGGCCAGTACCAATGTGACTTTTTCCGAGTTACATGTACTTTCTAAGATTATCAGACATCACTGACAAAGGGTGAAGGAAAATATTGTGAGGAAATCTGAACTTATCATTTCTAATTATAAGTTTGAAATCGCTAACCCGCATTAAGCAAGCGTGGTGATTAATGCTCAAACCTTCTCCGTGCGAGAGTGCCTTTGGTCATCAATAGCCACTTATAGGCTGCTGTGTGTATCTTTACTGTTAAATGTGTGTGTATGTTTAGAGGAGAACCACAGCCATGCTTACAGAGGAAAATCACGGGTTGTTTACACATGATGCATAAATCGTTACGTACTTTACATATTTATAACTTGTGTAAGCTCATCATGGATACAACAAATCGTTGATTTGGTACTAGAATATTACCTAAAAACTTTGAGCTAGGAAACATATTCTATGTTTTCTCGGCTCTATGTCAATAAATGCCTTCTTGATGAATATCATTTTTCAAACGGTATCTACCCGGGAAGCAAGGATTTGGGGGGAATGTCCGTGAGCAGTTTTTTATCATTATTGGTTGTAATTAATCCTAACCATATCAACTTTCGCACAATTACTTGGGTTGTTTATTCGGAAAACTTATCTTCTTCCTATTTCTACGGTTCGTATTATTTACACTGTGTTTCCAAGATCAAATAAAAACAATACTATTATTTTTCGTCTGTGGTTTTTATGTGCGTGTAATAATAATATTAACTACATTTATTTTGCTTCCATCTGGGTCATCTGGAGTAATTGGGGAATGCATATGATCAGCAATGGACGTTTTTGGCTAAAATGATGTAGTTGATGAGGCTCAAAAATTCATATTCAGCTAACTAAAGATATTATGTATGAATGTCTTCAGTAGAACAAGCACAGCATAAAACCAAGGTTACACTAAGGGACAAATGTCCTGTGACACGAATCGCCAGCGACGTCGGGCGAAGTAGCGCGACGTTGCCAGACTTTGGTCAACATGTCTGACAACATCTACATCGCTGTGGACATATGACGCGCGTTGTCGCCTTATAATATGTGGGGCGACATCGGCAGGCTTCGCTTGACATGTCACTGATATAATAGAGTAGTTTTCTAAATTTTATTTTAATGCCTGTCTTGTACATTAATTTAACTTTAGACTCGTATTTTTTCTTTTCTCACAAATTAAATACTTTCAACGATATATTACTTTGAAATATCGTGTGACGTCACAAAGTGTCACATTTTGTAGCACGTTATGACTCAACGACTTCCCACTCCTAAACTTGGCGCCATTTTATCTAAGTATTGCAACTTAACTCGTCGAGTACCGATTTGTAGACACAATTATAGAACAATAGGTTGCGGTCACCGGTGACCGCTTGGTGTTTGACAGTTTAATACGAGAAAATAAAATACGTATCTAATATTTTTTCATTATCTAACTGACGGACTAAATAGATTTTTAATTTTGATACTTGGAAAGTACCCAATTATCGCAGGATATTTGTACCCTAGTGTATCCTTGGCTTAAAATCAAAACTTTACCATAGTACCTTCCTACAATGTACCTTTTACATGGGACTCGTAACATAAATAGTGAAAAGTGGGTGTTACATTGTACAGTGGCATTAAGTGCCGTAATGTGCACCTCTGCCTACCCCTTCGGGGATAAAAAGGGGTGATGATGATGTTACCTTCCTACATTATCCAGGAACGATTCAGTATTAAAACACCCGCATAATTCTCAACGGAAATAAGTTCCAAAGAGAAAAAATAGCTTATAACAAGATTACAAGTTCGCTCGCCTTCCTTTTGCGACTTGCGGATAGTCGTTAGATATAATTAAATGCCAAAATATAAGGAAAACATCGGAAATTAAGTCCCTTCTGTACCTACGTGTTGGTATTTTTCCTGATAAATTACTTTCAGGGGTCATTATACAGATGGCAGCAGGTGAATGTACTCTTATTTTCGAATTTCTTTATTCGATTTTTATCTGTGTTCTTTTGATATAAAGCAAAAAGTCCAAATTGATAGATTGGAGTATGTTGACCCGCTGGTGTACCCACAAACTATCAAAATAGGTGTAGAAGTGTGAATGAATTTGTAAATAAGTCTCGAATTGATCAATTTACATTTTAGCTTTGATATTTATTTCTTAGTGGTTTCATTTGCACTTCAGTGACGAAGTATACCATTCCATCAATTTATTTGCTTTGAATATTTTTAACAGTACCTATTGCTGTTGAACTTCGAAAAATAACTTGTAATCTGCATAGTAGTTTGTAGTCAATATGTCAAAATATTGGTTTGATTCTGAGGCTAAGGACTCAAGGCGGATTCTTATCTCGCGAGATTTTTCTGTGATGTACCTATCTATGTAAATATCTGTGTAGGTACTAAGTTTAAGTTTCGATGGAACTAGCATGAACTGTGTTCAAAAGTTCCTAATAAATTGAAGAATGAAAAATATCAAGTAAGTTATAGTCTATCTATCAACTATTATATCTAAGTGTTTCAAAATCAGATTTAAAACATAGTATTGGAACTATTAAATTTTCTATTTAAACAAATTAACGGTAAATTAACTAAAAATCGCGGGTCACTTACGTGAATATACTGATTGTAGGCTATAATATTGACTGACACGTAGCCTGCGCGACATCGCCGCGACCGCGCACACTGCTCATGACGAAGAACCCCTCTGTGATTCGAAACTAGTAGAGCTTTTCTCAGTATATTCACGTGAGTGATCAGCGATTTTGGTTAATTTAGTATGTCTCACGATAGTTATTATAAAAATTAACGGCACCCAAATAAATTAACAACAAAAACAAAAATATTGTTCTTTGCAATACAATAAAGTCTTATTTGTAAATACATTCTTCGTAAATAAATATTTGGTTAACAAACTAAATTTATATCACCTTGTCTTCAGTTGTATATTAGGCTGGATACACAGAGCTGTACTTCGTATTAAATACAAAAGATTTAAGATATTTGTCTGTCTGTCTGTTTGTATGAAATCTAAATTAAGTTGATTGATCGCTATACATTTGCTAGTCATTCTTGTAACCCGAATGAGAATTAATCACTATACTTAGATCATCTACAGTCTACACTATTTAACAATGATAAAGTTAGATTTAAAATAATTTATTTGATTTCAATTCAGGTTAATGATGCTTCAGTGATCAACCTGCCTATTATCTTTTTAGTCTTTACTTTTGATTTATCTCGAGTTTTTATTGCAAAATTACTTACCAATATTCTCAATGTCTGAAGTGTGTGATTTCCAACATATATACAGTTTAATAGATCCAACTAATTGGAATAGACCGGCACTTTTTAATTCTTTTTAACGTGCTAAAGTGTCAAAGGGTCTTATTGAAATAAATGATTTTAACTTTGAGTTTGGACAGAATCCTGAAGGTGGATTTAATTAAACTGTCAAACACCAAGCGGTCACCGGTGACCGCAACCTATTGTTCTATAATTGTGTCTACAAAACCGGTACTCGACGAGTTAATCAAATGCAAAGGTCATTGAAATGAATTAAATTAATATCATCGATAATACATTTTATGTTTTAATGAATAGTGCGATAAATATACCGCTCATT